GTATTCATTACTGAGTCCTTTTTTTTGACACTTTGATTTCTGTTTTGGGGGGTTTTCAGGTTGTTTTGAGCTATGGTCTTAAACTTTTGATCAGCTGAAAAAAATCATGTTTGAGTGTTGAATGCAGTTTTCAATTAATTCCCAACTCAAAAGTTCTTGTCTCTTGCACTGATTTTTTCCTTATACATTGTGAAGCTCTACTTAGAACCTTCTTAAGATCCAATAGTGCAAAATGCAAATTCTTGCACTTTTTTGACTGGTCTTAAGATTTTGATCAGGAGTGTACATGTAAGGATTGCGCAATACATGTGRTTTTATCCAGGGGATTTAATTTTGTGTTTAGTAGGTTTAAATCTAATTCTCTTCAACAAACTGTTCGGAGTAGAAAAAAAATACAGGGTTCCTGCAGATCCTTAAAAAATCTTTAAAGGCATTGAATTAATCAATCCAAAAATAAGGCCTTAATTAGCCTTAAAATGTCTTAAATCAATCTTTGAAGTCTTAAAAAAGTTAACACATTGTACATAGGACGATTGTAATTCATTTCAAATATTAAAATAATTGGTAAAAATATATCGTTTAAATAATCACATGCAGACGTTCCCCTTTGACATCACTTCCTGTTACTTCACATGCAAATATCTCAACAATTGTTCATCTGAGCAACGTGAAATTTGTTTTGTAATATGTTAATAATGTTGTTATTCCAAAAATGCATTCACTTTTCTTACAAAAACTTGATGTCACAGGCACTTTAAGGTTTCATCTACAACAAATTGGGGTACGACCCCACTGTGGGTCCTAAAACTCCAAATTTTGGGTCGTGAGAGGATTTCCAGAAATTAAATTCAGTTTAAAACTGACAGCTAAGAATGTTTCTGCTATAGTTCGATATGGATAAAAACAATTGGTCTATTAGCCATCTTTTAATAATTCACCAAAAATAGTTATGAGTTTCTGCCACAGTTTTAGTTTTTTTTTGTCATTTGTGTTTTATGATGAAATTGGTCTTAAATTTAATTTCACTTGGCATTAAAAAGTCTTAAATTTAACTTGCCTTAAACTGCAGGAACCCTGAAATAAACGTGGCAGATCTTTTTAGATGTGAAAACTAAACCTTTTCCATCTTTTCTCCTTTCATCCTTTTCCAGAGTTTCCATCTTCATTACTGACTGGAAAAACAAACAAACTTTGTTTTGGTAGATTTTGATAACGAGCTACCGTTGTAATGCATTCTACCCTTTCTTGCACAGTCTGTGTTTTAGTTGCTCTGTTTTCTTCCCACCTGTCCAGAACAAGATACATCCACACTGAGCTGGGCATCCGAGAGCGACTGCTGGTCGGCGTTCTGACCTCRCGGGCCACCCTCAACACGCTCGCCATGGCGGTGAACCGAACGGTGGCCCACCGGTTCCACCGCACCTTCTTCTTCACGGGCCTGCGCAGCCCCAAAGTGCCCCACGGCATGACGGTGGTGGCGCACGGCGACGACCGGCCCGTGTGGCTGATGTACGAGACGGTGCGCCACCTCCACCGGCACTACGGCTCGGACTACGACTGGTTCCTGTTGGCCCAGGACGACACTTACATGCACGCGGATCACCTGTCGGAGCTGGTGGGCCACCTCAGCGCGGGCCAGGACCTGTACATGGGCCGGGCCGAGGAGTTCATCGGAGGGGAGGAGAAGGCGCGTTACTGCCACGGCGGCTACGGCTACCTGCTGTCCCGCAGTCTGCTGGCCCACCTGCAGCCGCACCTCGACGCCTGCCGCAACGACATCCTCAGCGTGAGGCCCGACGAGTGGCTCGGCCGCTGCATCATCGACTTCCTGGGTCTGAGCTGCGTGGAGGTGCACCAGGTAACAGTGCAGGTGTAAACACCCGGACTTTAGAGGGATCCATGATTAGCTGTAACATTACACTTTATTTGATAAACATTTATTTTAACTGTAAAATAAAGACTAAAAATACTGTAGGCTGTTCAGTTTAGTAAATTTTAAAAATATATATTTCAACACGGACGGAGCCATTTTATTTACACATAAAGCATTCTGGGTAAATGATGACGTGGATAGGTCCTCGGTGTGAGCGAGCTATATCCACCCTGAAGGTTAATCTTGGACAATATCTGATGACCGACTCTTTTAAATGAAACCAGAGAGCGTTGACAGAGAGGAGAAGGTAGAAATGACTCAGCCTGGAACTGAAAATATAGATGGAGGACCTCAGTTTAGCTTGTTAGTTTGTCGCACTAGCGCCAAGCTAAAACATATACGGCAATATAGCGTCAGCGCAAAAGCTAACAGGCTAAGCTGAGGTTCTTCTTCCATGAAGCAGCTCTGTTGTCCTCCATCCATATTTTCAGTTACAGGCTGAGTCATTTCTACCTTCTCCTCTCTGTCAACGCTCTCTGGTTTCATTTAAAAGAGTCGATCATCAGATATTGTCCAAGATTAACCTTCAGGGTGGATATAGCTCGCTCGCATTGAGGACCTATCCACGTCATCATTTACCCAGAATGCTTTGCGTGTAAATAAAATGGCTCCGTTCATATAATATATTTTTAAACTTTTAGTTTAAAAATGATAAAAACTGAACATGCTACAGTATTTTTACAGTCTTCATTTTACAGTTAAAATATATGTTTATTAAATAAAGTCTAATGTTACAACTAACCATGGATCCCTTTTTAAAAAACAAAACAAAAGCTTCTCTGATAGACATTTAAGTTTGTCTGCTTGGCTCACAGGGTATGACGTACCGGTACTTTGAGCTCGGGAAGAACGCCGACCCGGAGCGTGAAGACAGTGTTGAGTTTAAAACGGCCTTCACGGTTCATCCCGTCTCAGATCCAAACCTCATGTACCGCCTACACAAACGCTTCAGTCACATTGAGCTGGAGTGGACGTATCAGCAGATTCAGCAGCTGCAGGTTTGTGATGCATTGTTTTTGTTTGTCACCTTTTAACCTGTGCTGTGGTTTGTTTAATAATTAATTTCAGGTAGCACTGTGTGAAAATATGCAGTTTGTCTTACCCCACGCCCAGGGCAACTTACACACCAAGCTGAGGCAGAAATTCCAGCTAATACTTGCTTTGTTGTGACATGAAGAGTTACCTTCTTGTCTGATCTAATTCTCAGCAGGATCTGCCTAACATAAACCCTTAAACTGCTTGTTTCTGACGCTTTATTAATGAATTTTAACTTTAAAAAACTGCTCTGTTATAGCTTCTTTTACAGTTTCTGTTCCAGTGTTGTATAAAGTACCGCAAAGTGATATTTGAGTAAAAGTACAAGTATCTTATCTTACCAAAAAATGACTTTGGTAAAACTTAAAGTCTCCTTTAGGAATATTACTTGAGTAAAAGTCTTAAAGTATCTGATATTTTTTTTGTACTTAAGTATTAAAAGTAAAAGTATATTGATTTAAATGAGCAGTTAGATTTTCTGTAATGACATTTATTAGGAGGTGACCTCCCTCCAAACAAATGCAGAAATGTCTATATCATATTAAAATAATTAATTTATGTTAAATTTAGGTTGCACTAGTCTAGCTGTTTCAGTTTTATATACATATATCAAAGCTGCTCAAACATTTTCTCCAAAATGAAAATCTGTCTGCGGGCTGCAGCCAAATGTAATAATATAATTCATGAAATYCAAATACTTCTTAAGTACAGTCCTTTTATTTTAATGATTATGTCCTGCTGGAGTGTGACATGATTAGTTTGTGTACAAACTAATATGGTATCAGAATTTTACATATTTATACTTCTCATTCAACCAGTTAAATTCACTCTAAGAAGCACAATTTATATGGATAGAATTCATTTTTATAACAAGCTGGAATGAAAACAAGCAAAAATTAAAGTAACGACTTTCTTCTTGCCTTTTTTAAACATGTAAGGAGTAGAAAGTTCAGATAACTGTGTGAAAATGTAAGAAGTAGAGGTAAGAAGTAGGCTGAACAATAATTACTCAAGTAAGGAAACCTAAAAATTCTAAAAGAAAAAAAAATTGTATAGGTCTTCTGGACGGGTTCTTCTCTAATGAAACGTTTCGTCTCTCCTCCAAGAGACTTCTTCAGTCTGAGAGTTTCAGGCAAAATTCAGGCTTTTAAGCACTGCCTCCATGTGACTGATACTCGCATCACAAAGCAACCACTGTTCAAAAGAATGTCCCAACACAGATGAGCTACATCTAATGGCCAGAACTCTGCAGTTTTCACTCATCTACTGGCCAGCGGTCACTCTTTCAGAGATGAGGATGTTCTCATTCTTGATAGAGAGYAACGTTGGTTTGAGAGAGGAGTAAAAGAAGCCATTTTTGTGAAGAAAGACCGTCCATCATTAAACAGAGGTGAAGGCCTCCGTTTTCAGTTGTCCCCCTCCTACAGTGCTGCTATTGCCAGTATCACTCCACCCCCTGTTAACAATAGGTGTTAATTAGGTGTCAACGATAGCCATGTGATGTGAGTATCAGTCACKTGGAGGCAGGGCTTAAAAGCCTGAATTTTGCCTGAAACTCTCAGACTGAAGAAGTCTCTTGGAGGAGAGACGAAACGTTTCATTAGAGAAGAACCCGTCCAGTAGACCTATACAATTTTTTGATTTTTGATTTTTTTTTACCTGGATTACTGAGATGCATCAGGACTAAAAATTCTACTTAAGTACAGTAAAGTATTTGTACTTAGTTACTTTACAGCTCTGTTCTGATGTGTTCATCAGATGCAGATCAGTAATTTGAGCGAGCTGACACCTGAGGGGAGAGCCGGGGTCACGTGGCCGACAGGGGTCAACCCTCCCTTCAAACCCAAGACCCGCTTCGAGGTGATCAACTGGGACTACTTCACCGAGGAGCACATCTACACCTGCGCCGACGGCTCGCCCAAGTGCGAGATGCGAGGCGCTGACCGGGCCGACGTCGGCGCCGTCCTGGAGGTGGCCGTGGAGCGGCTCAACGAGCACTACCAGCCGCAGCTGCGCTTCCGCAAGCGGCGCCTGCTGAACGGGTACCGGCGCTTCGACCCCACCCGCGGCATGGAGTACGTCCTGGACCTGGCGCTGGAGGCCTTCACCCAGAAAGGCCACAGCCAGGTCCTCGCCAAGCGGGTCAACCTGCTGCGGCCGCTCAGCACCGTGGAGATCATCCCCATGCCGTACGTGACGGAGGCCACGCGGGTTCAGGTCATCCTGCCCCTCACTGCCCAGGACCAGGACTTCGTGGGCAACTTCCTGGACACGTACGTGCTGAACACGCTGGACACCCACGACAACGTGCTGCTGACGTTCCTGTTCATCTACGACCCCTTCGAGGCGCAGCGGGTCAGCCAGACGGACGTGTTCGCCGGCGTCAAGTCCATGATCGGCGAGGTGGAGAAACGCTACGGCGACGTGAAGATCCCCTGGATCAGCGTGAAGACCGAGGTGCCCTCGCAGGTCAAGCTGATGGACATCATCTCTAAGAAGCACCCCGTCGACACGCTCTTCTTCCTGGCYAGCGTTTGGACCGAGGTCAACTCCGACTTCCTGAACCGCTGCAGGATGAACGCCATCAGCAACTGGCAGGTGTTCTTCCCCGTGCACTTCCAGGAGTACAACCCTGCGGTCATGTACCGCGAGCAGCAGCCCTCCTCCTCCTCCTTCGCCTCGGAGTCGCTGCGAGACGGCCACTTCGACCGCCACGTCTTCGACGAGGCCTGCTTTTACAACACTGACTACATGAGCGCCCGCACCAGGATGGCCGCAGACATCCTGGACAACGAGGAGCTGCTGGAGAGCATGGACATCTACGACATCTTCGTGCGCTACTCGGGCCTGCACGTGTTCAGGGCGGTGGAGCCGGCGCTGGTCCAGAAGTACGTGCGGCGCACGTGCAACCCACGGTTCAGCGAGGACGTCTACCACCGCTGCGTCCTCAGCAACCTGGAGAGCCTGGGGTCCCGGTCGCACCTCGCCATGGCTCTGTTCGAGCAGGATCAGGCCAACAGCACGTAGGACCGCCGAGCCGGACGGAACCATGTCGGAATCAACCAAAAACGAACAAAAACAACTRGTGTCCTGCAGCTGGAAACACTTCTGCTCAACATAATTTATAACCTTAAAGGAGGAAGATGTTACGTGCATTCTATTCTCACGAAATGTGAGTCAGTATTTATATTTTCATTTTTAGGATCTCAGTGTCTGTATGAACAAATGCCTTCTTATCAAAATACTTGAGCCATTTGTCTTCTTTTGTGAAGATGTTAATGCTGAAAACAAGCTGCCTTTTCTTTCAGAAATGTCCAGTTTTTTAAGACGTATTAAAGATTGTTTGTTCAGAGTGTGTGTTTGTGTGTTTACTCCAGCCTCATTAGATGAATGGTAATCATTTGCAGCCTGATTGATCTTTTACTCATGGAGGAGGGTGTATCTGCTCAGCGGAGCTGAAAGGCACCGCGTTAAGAGTCACGACAGCGTGGAGATTCAGACCGACACTGTTGCTCAGTTTGTGTGAAAGCTGTGCTGCAGGGCACGCAGGCAGCGAACAGTTTGTTCCTCAGCAGCAGCAGCTARGCTCCGCCTCATCCTTCTTGCATTAAGTCAGTAAATCTCCACCCCCCACCAGGGCCTCCTTGAGTTTTTTGGCAAATATTCTGCACACGTCCCCGTGGGGAAGAAAAGAAAAAAACCCAAACCAGGGGTCCTGTCCGTGTAGCTGATGGTGCATTTAAAACCCCTGACGGTGAGGTGGCAGAGCAGGCTGAATGCCTTGCTTCACGTTTCCCTCGTCCACAGAACAGCTCCATGTGAGGCTGTGGGCTCAGCAGGAAGAGAAGGAAAAAAATGGCAGCAGAGTGAAAAAGCCTCTTATTTTATTTTCTGTGGGTCGACACGMTGGAAACGAGGGCCTCCACCTGCTTCCCTGTGGTGAAGCCAGAGGACAATAAAACGTCTGTCTGCTCGCCTTTCGAGGAACGCCTGGCTCGGGCAGGAAATGTAACAAATTGCAGCCTAAAGTCAACATGTCTCTGATGCAGGAGCGCTCAGTCACTGTGATGACACAACCAGCAGCAGAAACCAGGAAGTGACACAACACACTCCTCTGCTTCTGACTAAACCGAAAATGTGCTCGATGATAAATGCACCTTTGTCGTAGAACTTTACTTATGTCTTCTTATACTTTTTATACAGATAAATTTTGTGATGTTCTCTCTTAATTGTGTTGAACATGAGCCATACCAGCAAAAAGAGTAAAACAAAAGCACAGTTTCAGTGCAAAATAAGTAAAAATATAGATTTTTGCACAAAAATTAGTCCATAAAGACACCATCTAGCAATCCAACTAAACCTAGCACAAAAAGTCAGGAAATTTGTGTTTAATAGATTAGTTTTTGTTGTAACAAAGCCTCTTGACAATAAATCTTACAGTGAACATCTGATTGGCAGCACCTGAAGGCACCAGAAGCTCAAAACGAGTCATCAACAGCAAAATAAGCTGAAGATTTGGCAAAACATTCATGTGCACCTATTCAGCTCTACTGCTCATCCCACAAATGCCTGTTCCTTACAAATGTGGCACCGTTTAGAGGGAAATTAACAGACTTTCCAACAGTCTAAGATTTACTGCCAAGGATTCTTACAACAAAGAAATAACCTATCAAACACACATGTAGCCTACGTCTTGTGCTAAGTATAGAGTAGTATATAATCTACCTTTGAATCAGTTTTATTTTTAACAAGTATAACTTATTCCATTTAAATAAATCATTTTCTTTGTTGTCTGTCATTTTAGTGGGGAATCCTTTCCCATAATGCATCACTGTAAAGATGGTGGTTTCCTTTTATAAATATAAGGCTTGAAATTCTGATGATTCCACACCAATGAAAATTGTTTTTAAAACTCTTGTAAATTAAACCAGCTTGTTGGTAACTTGGTAAGAAATCGCCAAATTTCATCAAACTACGTGTCATTTTGCAGCTTTAAAGGTAATTAAACTTAGCACAAAAAGTAAGTAAATTAGTGTTTGGTAGATTATTTCTTTGTTGCAACAATGCACCTTCGCAATAAATCTTATATTGTTGGAAAGCCAGTTAGTTTCTCTTTTAAACGGTGTAACATTTGTAAGGAACATGCATTTGTGGGATGAGCAGTAGAGCTGAGTATGTGGGTTGCATACATGAAAATTTAGTCAATTTCTTTGTCAAACAGTGGGGTATTTTGCTGTTATTGATGCTTGTTTTAAGCGTCACCCAGGTACTGCCTGTTAGTTGCCCACTATAAGATTTATTGTTAAGAAGCGTTGTTACAAGAAAAAAATAATCTCCCAAACACAAATCTCCTTACTTTTTGTGCTAAGTATATTTCTGTTAAACCTCACAGAGACCACATCTTGTTTCAGAACCCAGAATAGGGACCACTGCTCTGGATTACACAATCAAAAACAAACAAACAAACAAAAAAAACCAATAATTAAAAATATAAATTAAAAAAAGACACTTCAGATGTTTGTGGCATTTACAAACTTTGGCAAGCGCTTCTTTATTTACATCCAGGCTGTCTCAACGGTGTCACAGCTGCTTTTCRTTTTCTTTTTACTTCATTATTATTATTTGTGTAACTTTAATCCCCCCACAACCCTTCAGAGATTTACAGTATTAACCTGTAGGTGACCCTCAGTGTACAGAAACACATGCAGGGGTTGAGACAAACACGTCAGGGTTTTTTAGTAGCAGAAGACACAGTAGTGATTCTGAGGCGCAGCTCCAGTTTCCTCCAGAAGAGGGCGSTAGTGATCCAGTGACAACAATATGGAAAGTCCTGGCCATGCAAAGAAAAGTCCCTCCAGGACTCAGATACTACCTAAAGTCTACTGTTTRTCACCTACAGAGTGCAGTTATTAGTCTCTGAAGAGTCACTCCTACAGTTAGCTGCTGGTAGGGCGTGTCATTTTTGGCAAAAAAAAAAAAAAGTTTCCAAAAGGCATTTCAACAAAWGTGTCAAGTCCTGCCCTTGACTGACACACACGTCCATGCCTAGCTTGTTGTTGTTTTTTTTTAAATATTTACACACTGTCTCATTAGATGAATTATTCCATGTTCATGGAGCATGCATAGGTCATCGTGAAATCACTTTTTGTGTACGCTGGGGCTAAAAAAACAAACAAAAAACAAAAAGATGACGATAAGAAACCCCGACAAGAGTTACAGCACAGTGCAAAGAACCCCTCCAAAAAAGGCTTCTGGTTTAAAAAAAAAAACACCCTTCATGTGACAGTACAACATATACATATACAGGTCAAGTGTTGTAAAAAAAATGGTGCAGATTGTTTTATGTGTTACAGATTCTGAGATTGAGGATAAAGGAGGTCGCTTTTTTTGTTGTTGTTGCAGCTCCCACGACAGATGCAGGATGGACCTAAAATAAACCAGCCCAAAGCCAAGATAGCACACAGAGGAACACTAACATTCCTGCGCTACTGCTTCAAAACTGCAACATTGACCCCGCTCCCTTAAAAAAAAAACATTGTATACTGTACAGCTGGCCTTCTTAAGGAGACAAAAACYTATTTACATTCACATCTCTAGAAAAGAACCCTTATTTTTCTTTTTTTTTTTCGTGTGTGTGTGCATAACTTAAAAAAACTTTAAAAAAATGGACAAAATCTCAGACTTGGACTTAAATGTTTGCTGAAATTAGATTTTAAAGGTTACAAAAAGCATTTGGGCCCAGATCTGTGTTTTTTGTCCACTTCTTTTTGTTGTTGTCATCGTAGCCTTTGGTAACACCTTTCAGAGCGTCAGCTTGCAAAATAACACACGAGAAACAGGAAGTGAGCGACGAGAAGCAAGAACACGCTTCAGAAATGTGAAAAAAAAATCTGCTCGTTAATTAATACTCGGTATCGCCTTCGTCATTTATAAACACACGGATATTAATGTTATAACACTTTAGTTCAGAAGTCTGTTTCTTTCTAATGAATCAATGAGTTTTGAAATTTTTTTTTAATGGACATAATTTACAGCCAACAAAATGTCATCTAAGCTTTGCTGGTGTAACTATTTAACCCTTCATAAACAAATCGAAGAGAAATTAAAACGCACGCAGACACACTTCAAAAAGAATCAAAGTACAATCATAAAAAAATGATTTAAAGAATGTAAAACTGGATATTACCTCATAAAAAAACAAAAACAAAAYAAACTCTGAGTGTCCAGAGACTCAGAGGTGTGTGAGCAGCTGGATGTGGAGTTTGTTTCCTTCTTTTTCAGGATTATATTTACAAAAGCAGAGCAGCTGAGGGATGACGGCGTCCAATCAGCCTCCTCGGTTTGTTTCACTTTAAAACACTGGTGACAAATGGAACCGAGATTTCTTTTAGTTTCATTAAAGATTTAGCGTTTCAGACTCCAGCGATGGTCTCTCTTTCACACACACACACACACACTCATTCACACACAGATCTCTGAAAACAAGGCGGCGGTGGTTCAGAGGAGCCCCTGTTTAAGTGTTGCGGACCGCCAAGGCCTGCTCCAGCTCCTGCCTCCTCTGCTGGATCTGTGGTGAGGACAAGAGAAGGGACACGATGAGTCCGGTGAAGAGGAGCTGACAGGAGGAGGACGAGGAGAACTTTGTTCACCTTGCAGTAGAAATAACGGCTGACGGCCTCTTGGGACCAGGGTTCGTGGTAAAACGACGCCCTCCTCTCCTCCTCAGGGTTCCCCACCACGTCCGTCATCAGCTGTGGAGAAGGAGACTCATCGTTTCTGAGGTCATCAAAAACTGAGAAGAATTGCATTTCAGGTTTTTGTTTTTGCCTGTGTCGTGCRATGTTAGGTTACAGAAATGAATAAAAAAATAATGGAAGTGGATGGAAAGTCCCCATGAAGATAGAAAGACATGGTGTGTGTGTGTGAGATTATTAAACCTTGAGGTCTCGGCTCTGGGATTTGAGCCAGTCTTGGATGTAGCCTTTGGGATCTCTGGAGAAGCTGAGCATGAAGTCCCGCTGGATCTTCAGCTGGTTGATGGACTCAATGGTCTCGTGGATCTGAGGAAAAATAAATGTCCAATAAAACCCTCTGCTCGTGACTGTGTGTGTGTGTGTGTGTGTGTGTGTGTGTGCGTGTGTGTGTTTGTGTGTGAGACATGAATGGTCACACCTCATGATTCATTTTGTTACTGAGAACCACAGTCCTGTCATGACGTGGAAGTTTAAGATGAGGATCCAAAAGCAGAACTCCTTCATTAAAGGAGACATACGATGCTTTTAAATCCTTCAGTTGGGGTCTAGATAAAGTGGAACTGCAATGCTTTGATCTGAATCCKTCCTTATTGTAACTCCACAAGCCCCCCTTTCTGAGGTGTGTCTCAGATCAACTCGTTTCGAGGCTGTCTCTTTCAATCCAAACGAGGAGCTTCATGCCCCGCCCCAGCCTCCAGCTTCCAGACTGGTTCATTCCAGCTTCAAAATATGATTAATAAATACCTTATCTATGGGTCCCTTGAAGGCAAAAGTCTTAAATAGAACTGTTTCTGAGCAGGACCAATGACTAATGATGATTTTGAGCAGAAAAGCCCAAAAAATGCTGCTACTTTTTCTGCACAATAGCAGTTTCTTTTGATACCAGCTGGGAAATCCTGATATCCAAACATGATTTGAGGCTTTCTCTTTTGAATGATGTTAAAAAATCCTTACTAATATATTTATATAAATATAAGATTTAGACTTTGAGCTTATTCTGATTAGCAACACAAATCAAGCCACATCTCTGTTAAAGCTCACGATGATTCAAGTTATCAAAAGTAGTTTTAAAAGCTGAGAATCTAAAAACAGACATCACGTGCAGCTTTCTGATGAAATAAAAACCCAGTGATCTGTAATATTCTCATTTCATCTCCTCTGTGTGACACTGGGACCGGACTCTGAGGTGAGCTCACCTTGTTGTCGAGCGAGGCGATTTCCTGCTGGTTGGCGGTGGAGAGGAGGAAGCTGCTCATCTGGCTCTTCAGGGGGTCCTCCACCTCCACGTCGATGTCGTAGCACGCCGTCTTCTTCTGGTCGTTGGGGTCCACGCTGGAAGGAAGCCAGGTTGTTTAAAAAAAAAAAAAAAACACTAAAATTTCTCCATTAACTAGATGTCTCAGTCACATATGGCACTTGTCTGCCTGATCTGCAGTGAGCGTCTGCAGCAGCAGGAGAGGGTCTACCTGATGACGTGGTTAATGACGATGGGGTCGGGCGGCAGGAGGAGGTTAGTGAGGCGCTGAGGAATCTCAGAAAACTTCAGGCGAGGGCAGTCAAAAATCTGTTAAAGAGAGGAAAACGTTTTTACATTTTATTCATTCAAAACCATCTGAAAGGGACTTTATGTAACAGAAAAACATTTGTTGGTAAAAGGTTTGTGTAAGATGGAAATACAGAACATTTACTGAAATCACAGTATATGACAGGGCTATTCAACTGGTGGCCCGCGGGCCACATCCAGCCCGCCAGTGACCAAAATGCGGCCCACCAATTGGTTCATTCATCTCTTCAGCCCAAACACCGGTTTTCTACTTTAATTAGTATAAGTTCTTTTAGTTAGACACAGACATGTTTGGTCTCTACAGAAACATCAGAATCTTAGCTGGAAGCTGGTAAAAACATTTTTATGAAGATCAAAGACAGATCAAATTACAAGCAGTTGAAGATAAAACCATTAAAATTGGTTAAAATTTTGGCAAGTCAAAGATGTCAAAATAATAGTTGTGGAGGCATTTTGTGCTTTTATTGTTTGTAGGTCGGTCGGTACTTTAATAATCCCAAGGGGAAATTACATGGTGGTCCATAGCTCTCATTCATAAAACAATAAAAACAAGACCCATCAGATTTAAGAAAAATAAAAAAAAATATAAAACCAAATAAATAAAAATAAAATAAAATCAGGAGGACAAAATAAAAAGTGTTTTATATCTCTACTTTTATTACCCAGGGTTCTGTATGTTGTATTCATGATTAAATACAGCAAAATAAACTATTTCAAAGGTAACAGATCTTTGTAATACTTGGATTATTTACATGACTTTAAGTGTTGGATGTTCGGCCCCTCAGC